ACAGCTGAAAAGAATCGGGTCGATAGCCGACAAGGAAGACGAATGCCGAGCCCTCAAATACTCGTCCTCCAAGAGGACCACGCTACATAGCGTATACCCCCCTCAACGCGAGTAGAGCCAAGGTAATGGAGCAGGCCCTCGCCTCGGAGATCCTTGCAATGCCGAAAAGGGAGAACACTCCCCCTAGAGCAGACAAAGCCAAAACGTGCCGACCTAGCCGACCTAACTAGTCTTCTTTTTGGGATCGAGCAAAGGACATGTAAAGTGTGTATCCTAACACAGGAACAACTTGCAAAAAAAGAAAATATTCTAATGTTCAAATCAATTTTTGGAAATGGAGATATCAATATTAATCAATATTGACAATTATGAGAACGTACCTTTTTATTCTTAATTGTCTTTATTTATATTAATCGTAATGGATTTAGACCCACAAATTAACAAGTATATGAGAGGATTCATTAGTGTTAATATTTGTAATATCAAATAATACAGGTCTTTGTAATGAATCGAGGACTTCTTGACTTAACCTTTGTGTGTAATTATGTCGAAAAGTTTCAAATTTCTCTTTCTAATGTTAGTACTTATACCAAGTTATGGAGTCTATTAGGGTTTATAAAGTTTACAAACCAGATGTTTTATTCATAATATTCTGCCAGTATAGAAATATAGTACTTTCTTTCACTATACAAACACTGCATTCGAAATGCACATGCACACACTATTAGACAACATTACATCTTAGTACAATCAGTGGGCTTAAAGGACACAGTCTTCTTGAGCAAATCAAATCCAACCATGTGGTTCGTTTGTGCTATGTTTCCGAAGATGGAATCGGCTATCACTGGGGCGAAAGCAAAACATGTTTCATTATCAGAGACACTAACAAAAGTGTTTAAAGAGTTCAACACAACGTCGGCGCCAGAAAAATGTGCTGTAACAAGTGGGGCTTCAAATGTTTCATTTGATGGAATCTTGTAACAAAGGCTTAAAAATTGTTCTGGGCTATGATCACGTTCCATTTTTATCTGTGCTGGTACTTCTGACTCTAGTTTGGCGTAAAATTTTTTTGGCAAAAACGTCAATGTGGTTCCTGAATCGATTATGATGTTACCCTTAGCATCATTTGAGGTTGAATTATCTATGAGCTCTATTCTTTTGGACCCAACACTCATTCCCTCCAATTTAAGGTAATAATATGTGTCAACGGATCCACGTATAATTGGAGTAGTGACTGTTCCAGAACCAGCCACCACAGCTTTTTCTCCAAAATTTATCTTACTTGCGCCTTTGGATTCAAAGGATGGTACCAAGCAATAGGAGAATTTGAAATCAACTGAATGACCTATTTGGGTCATAAGTGAGATACCACCACCTCCTAGCCCAACAATACCAGAGCCTTTAGGGTCAAATTTACCACCATTTGTGAACCCACAGCCAATTGCAATCTTGGGAAATGCAACAGAGGAACCTAATTAAAAAGAAATATAAACAAAAAAAATAAATTAACAGCCATTAAATAAATGAGGTTGGGAAATGCAATCGGGTATCCTAAAATGAAGCATAAGCAAAATAATAATAATAATAATAATAATAATAAAATTTAATGCTCCCTTTTATCACAATGATATAGTTTAAGACTTTAAGGATTGTATATATAGATTAAGAGCAACAATAAGTATATCAAATTTTTATATAATTTTATTGAAATAGTATCACTCTTTCAATAAATATATTACTTTTATTTGTGATGATTGAATAATTTATATGAAAATAATTTAAAGAAAAAAATAATGAATATTATATTGAAAAATGACATTGATCACTTTCTAAAAGCTTAAACAGGAATCTATGTGGGACAAGAGGAATACTAGCCAACAAATAAATGAAGTTGATAGACGTTATTAAAGAATTTTTAAAAAATTATAAAAATATATATTTAATAGTTTATTTTTGTATATGAATAATATTTTTTTAATGTTTAAAAATTAATAATTAATGATTAATATATATTTATGAGGATATGATTTTTGCTAATCAAATATCGTGAAAATCAAACTTACGACCATCAAGTCAATTCTTCATATCTTAAGACAAACTTTATAATCACTAGGTCAATATATTTTGTTATCTTAATACTTAATGCATAATTATGATTTTCAATTAATAGTTTAATGCATCTAAAAAATGATTAATATTTTTAGTTTTCAATGTAATATTAATTTTTCCCCTAATTTGACACCCATAATTTTTATAAATAACACAATTAAAATTAATACATTTATTGAGAGCGTTAGATTATTTTAGTAAAAATGTATAAAATAAATTATATATTTATCATTATTCTTAATTTGTATGTAAAAATCTTGAATTCATTACAAAATAATATCACATATATTGACATACAAAAAATATCATTATATAGATTAATATATGTAAGTATAAATCTATATGACATATATTTTCATAAAATTTTAAAGTTAATTTTGAATAAAGTTTAATAGCATATATTGTATATCATCATAGTTTATACTTACACTTTTTAACAATATACTAACATATATTGTATTTATATACAGTAAAGGTATAAGTAATTTTAATGACAAATATTATACCATTTTAGGGTATAAGTCACTATAAGACAATTTTTTATAGTGATTATATTATTTTAGAATGGAGGGAGTAATTAACAAATAAAAATTGAGAAAAAAAATATAATTATGAAATTGTCGCATACATTATCTTTAACGCAGTGAATAATGATCTTTTATAATAACTTTGATTTCCGGTAAACAGAACTGGTAAGGAAACTCTTGGTATGAGTCAAAACTAAAAGAAAATAATTATGAACAAAAAAATCCATAAAGGTATTTAATAAATGAAGCCATTTGAAAATTTTGACTCCGTGAGACATTAATTAACAAATTGAAAGCATTAATAAACATTAAATAATAATTAAATAGGAGTATGAAACATTTAATGTTTTTAAAGAAAATAATATTAATGCTGCAATAAAAAACCAAATAATATTAATTAACATTGATTAAATAAATAGTTTTAAAGGTTATAAAAATTAACTCCATTCTCAAACTGATTGTCGTTTCAACATTTACAAAATTTCTAAAATTATTGATATTATCAGTTGTCAATGTAATATTAATATTCTACCTAGTTTAGCTTTCATAATTTTTTTAATTAACACAATTAAAAATAATATATTTATTAAGAGAGCAAGATTATTTTATTAAAATTGTGTTGTTTTCATTATATATTAATAAAAAAATGGTAGGAATTAAATAAATGACACCTTTAAATATTATTGGATTTGTTTTAATCACTATGCTGTAATTTTTTTTTTTTAATTTTCAAAATTGATAGATTTAAAAAGAAATCGAAATCCGCGACTTTCAATTGGCAGTTGTATTAGTTTTACAAATATGGTTTTACCTTTGTTTTTCTTTTTCTTTGTTAAATGAATGTGTTAGTTGAAGAAACATTTTTTATTATATTTCTTTTATAAAAGTAGCAATGGGTATGACTTACCTTTTTCTTTTGGTTTTTACTTTTCACTTTACGTTAAAATAATATTTTATGTAATTCCTTTTTTTAAAACAACGAAGTGCTTCACTTGTAATTTTTAAGTTGATATTGTGCTTGTGTTAAAAGTCGTATTTGACAGAGACGACTCACTCAATTTCTAACATGTTTTTAAGAATTGCCCATTTGAGAATTCTTAAACATGTATATATATATATATATATATCACTTGTAAAAAAAACATATTATGAGAATATCAACTCCTAAAGACAATAATTAAAAGAGAAAGAAAGGTAAAATATTCCCAACCTCTAGTAGAACCCAACGTGAGTGTTTCAAACGCAATATTTCCTCGTGAATATGATCTATCACCGTATTCAACATCGTACTTGCACCTGGGATCTCCATTGTGTTGGCAAATGGTTTCCTTCAGTGATCGACACAACGAGGAATTACAAGAAACGGGCTTGTAAGACGAGGATTTGGCCGAGTCAAACAAGGGAGTCGTTTGGTTGTAACACTTTTTGCAAGGCTTGCATTGCAACCAAACAAGGTCACTCCCCGTGTCGGCAATGCCCATCACCTCAAACGGCGGCGTTCCGATGGAGTACTTCATGAGGTACTCTCCATGGCTGAGTGATATCACAGACTGTGGTGGCTTTCGTGAAGCCTTTGATTTTGAGTAGAAATGGTTCACGCGGTTGATGGAACGGTGAAAAGCGTTGTGAAGTTGTTGGAAAGGGGTTTCGGAGGGGTTGTAGAATGGAGAGTTTGGAGAGTCTCTGTGAATGAGTTGCACACTGAACCCACCTTTAGGTGTATGAGAGAAACAAAGAGTTGCTAATGTGAGTGTCAAGAAAACAAAGAGGGTATTGGGATGAGAAGCCATGTTGTGAGTTGGTTGAAATGTTGAATAAGATGTTATGTGTAGTATTATATATATATATAAAGTAAGGGAAGTGCCTTTGTATATATTCTTTAAATAAATAGAGATAATTGGTCTGTTTGTTTAAGTATAAAAAGAAGGTTAAAATATTTTTTTATTTCTTATAATTTTATTTATTTTATTTTTTATTTTTTATAATTTAAAATAAGTTTTTTTAGTTCATATTTTAAAAGAATATTTTTAATCTTTTTAATTTAAAAAATATTTTTTTAGTTCTTATATTTTTAATTTTGTAATCCTTTTAGTTCCTATTGTTAATTTTTTTTTGTAATATTCTTTGTTTTGTATTGATTGTAAGTATAAGAAGTTAAAATTTTTATCTTACATTATAAGAACTAAAAAGAATTGTAAAAGATAAATAGAAACACTGTAAAAGTCTATTTTAACTATAGGGAATAAAAAATGATAAAATAAGTAAAATTATACGAGCTAAAAAAAATATTTTTACTAAAATAAAAGTTTTTCAAATATTTTTTTAAAATAATTAAACAGGTATTTTGTTTTAAAATAAAGAAAATAATTCTTTTAAAAATAAGAAGTGTGAAAACCAAGTTAAAAAATTGAAAAAAAAAACACTTAAATTATTAAAAAAAAATACAATAACATGATTATAAAAATCAAAAGTACTGTTTTTTTAAAAAAATTATATAAATAGGCTAAGTAGACGTTAAAGTTGGTAAATTGTAGTGAGAGTATGTGTGTTATTTGTGATAATTATACGATTATATATATATATATATATATATATATGTGTGTGTATACGATTATATATATATATATATATCTGGGGGGAGTTCTTCACTATCAACTACTGCATTTCCACCATTTCCATAACTTTGGAACCTTGCAACACTTCCTTTTTTTGCTAGACTACCAACACTTTCAGTACTAGCTACACCTTTGGTACCACCACCACCAAAACCTGGGGGACCTCCTTCACTATCCATTCTTACACTTCCTCCTCCACCTGGGCTACCAGCACTGTTGACACTGCCTCCTCCATTCGTACGACCACCACCACCAAAACCTGGGGGTAGTTCTTCACTATCAACTACTACATTTCCACCATTGCCATAACTTTGGAACCTTGCAACACTTCCTTTTCCTGCTAGACTACCGACACTTTCGCTACGTACTCCTTTGGTACCACCACCACCACCACCACCAAAACCTGGGGGACCTCCTTCACTATCGACTTCTACACTTCCACTACCACCGTAACTTGTGAGTCCTCCAACACTTCCTCCTCTACCTGGGCTATCGGCACCGCTGACACTACCCCCTCCTTTCGTACCACCATCACCACCACCAAAACTTGAGGGGCCTCCTTCACTATCACCTTTTACACTTCCACGAGCTTTTGATCCAACTTCATTGCCTCCCCCATTCTCAGATCTACTACCACCATATTTGACACCTCTTTTTCCCTTTCCTTTACAGTTAACACTACCATGATTCAACTGGAATTTCCTACCGCTCAAAACTGCATAAACAAGATTCATGTATGATTTGCAAATAGTTGCATTAAATTAAAGAAAGCATGAGAAGAGGAAAGAAAATACTTACAGTAATTCTCATCATCGCATACACTAGAGTTTTCTTGACTTTCATTTGATCCTCCTACATTTTCAACCAAATGTCATTTTTGCATGTAATTAATATTTTGAATATACTCTTTATCAATTACATGTCATTCACAAATATTAGCTTTGTGCTCAATACCTTTTTTAGAAGGACACCAGACTAATCCTTAATTAATGGTTTTGAAAATAGGTTCATGGAGTCGCCACCAATGTTTTACTCAAAACATTGGAAAAAGAAAAGGTTTTTAAAAGTCCAATAATGGTCTTGATAACCAGAATTGGGTTCGGGGGTCGGTTACGTGTAGGGAAGGTATTAAGCACCCCTACAACGCCCTAAATCGGTACCCTATGATGAAGATAACGTAATAAGAATTAATAATTAAAATATTTAATCCCCTTTATTAATGATTATTTACATGAAAATTAAATTACACGGTGAACCCTAAGATATCTACATAATTGCGTTTATTATAGCAATATATAAAATAAAAGAAGAGAAAGATAGAACAAGAGATTAATGAGTAATACCTCGTACCAAGCTTTATTAGATCTTCTACTATGGAGATTTTAGGTGCTTTGTGGCAACCCTTCACACTACAATGTCTCATAAAATCTCAAGAAATACAAGAGAGGGAGAGAGAAAAAGAGAGAAATTTCAAGCTCTAAAGAGTGCTGGACAAAATTTTTGGGGTCCGGAGAATTGTGGCCGAGATTTCTATTTATAGGCATCAGATATGGGCCGCAACGGCCCGTTCTGGATTCGGAATGACTTGTTCTGGATTTGGAACGGCCCGTTCCGAATCCGAACGTTATGTATTATTTTTGTATCCTAGAACGGCCCGTTCAGAACGGCCCGTTCAAAACGGCCCGTTCTGGGTTACAAATTTTAGCCCCTTTGATTGGTTTGGAACGGTCCGTTCTGGTCTAGAACGACCCATTCTAACCTACAAATTTTAGGCCTTTTAGAAGCCTCGGAACGACCCGTTCCAATCAAGAACGGCCCGTTCCAGACTTAGGAATGGCCCGTTCCGGACTTGGGAACGGCCCGTTCCAGGTCACTGAAAAAAAGTTGCTTTTTGGCCCTCTGACATCCTATCTTGTCGTTTGTATGCCCCGCGAACGAAATTGGGTCTGGACAAAATTTTTGGGGTCCGGAGAATTGTGGCCGAGATTTCTATTTATAGGCATCAGATATGGGCCGCAACGGCCCGTTCTGGATTCGGAATGACTTGTTCTGGATTTGGAACGGCCCGTTCCGAATCCGAACGTTATGTATTACTTTTGTATCCTAGAACGGCCCGTTCAGAACGGCCCGTTCAAAAAAGCCCGTTCTGGGTTACAAATTTTAGCCCCTTTGATTGGTTTGGAACGGTCCGTTCTGGTCTAGAACGACCCATTCTAACCTACAAATTTTAGGCCTTTTAGAAGCCTCGGAACGACCCGTTCCAATCAAGAACGGCCCGTTCCAGACTTAGGAATGGCCCGTTCCGGACTTGGGAACGGCCCGTTCCAGGTCACTGAAAAAAAGTTGCTTTTTGGCCCTCTGACATCCTATCTTGTCGTTTGTATGCCCCGCGAACGAAATTGGGTGTCTATAGCTGTCCCTCTTTACTTGTCCTTTGGAATAGCTGTGTTGCTTTTCCAAAGGCAAGTAAAGACGTAGACATTTCGTCCGGGTCTTCTTCTCGTCTCTGTGTTGATGCTTCTACGTTGCTTCCCTTGGACAAGTGTATTTGCTCGTATCCTCACCCTTTAGAGTAGTTGAGCATTGATTGCATACTCTATTGGGTAACAAGGTTGACAAAATGTACACCTGATCTTCAGTCTTCGAGTAGAAGCTCCATTATTTCTGCTCTTAATTGCTTCTCTTACGATAGTGAGGTGGAGATCCGGTTCTTCAACCTGCTGATGTTGAGTATTGTTGTGTCGACCTCTTCAGGTCGCCTGCTAATGTGAGTATTGTTGTGTCGGCCTCTCCAAGCTGCCTGTTGATATTGTGAGTATTTTTATGCCAGCCTCTCCAGGCTGCCTGCTGATATTGTGAGTATTGTTGTGCCAGCTTCTCCAAGCCGTCTGCTGATGTTGTGAGTATTGTTGTGTCGGCCTCTCTAGGCTGCCTGCTGATATTGTGAGTATTATTGTGCCGTCCTCTCCAGGTCGCCTGCTGATATTGTGAGTATTATTGTGTCGGCCTCTTCAGGCCGCCTGTTGATATTGTGAGTATTATTGTGTCGGCCTCTCCAGGCCGCCTGCTCATATTGTGAGTATTATTATGCCGGCCTTTTCAGGCCGCCTACTGATGTTGTGAGTATTATTGTGCTGGCCTCTCCAGGCTGCCTGCTGATGTTGTGAGTATTGTTTTGCCAGCCTCTTCAAGCCGCCTGCTAATATTGTGAATATTATTGTGCCGGCCTCTTTAGGCCGCCTGCTGATATTGTGAGTATTATTCTGTCGGCCTGAGTAATACCTCGTACCAAGCTTTATTAGATCTTCTACTATGGAGATTTTAGGTGCTTTGTGGCAACCCTTCACACTACAATGTCTCATAAAATCTCAAGAAATACAAGAGAGGGAGAGAGAAAAAGAGAGAAATTTCAAGCTCTAAAGAGTGCTGGACAAAATTTTTGGGGTCCGGAGAATTGTGGCCGAGATTTCTATTTATAGGCATCAGATATGGGCCGCAACGGCCCGTTCTGGATTCGGAATGACTTGTTCTGGATTTGGAACGGCCCGTTCCGAATCCGAACGTTATGTATTATTTTTGTATCCTAGAACGGCCCGTTCAGAACGGCCCGTTCAAAACGGCCCGTTCTGGGTTACAAATTTTAGCCCCTTTGATTGGTTTGGAACGGTCCGTTCTGGTCTAGAACGACCCATTCTAACCTACAAATTTTAGGCCTTTTAGAAGCCTCGGAACGACCCGTTCCAATCAAGAACGGCCCGTTCCAGACTTAGGAATGGCCCGTTCCGGACTTGGGAACGGCCCGTTCCAGGTCACTGAAAAAAAGTTGCTTTTTGGCCCTCTGACATCCTATCTTGTCGTTTGTATGCCCCGCGAACGAAATTGGGTGTCTATAGCTGTCCCTCTTTACTTGTCCTTTGGAATAGCTGTGTTGCTTTTCCAAAGGCAAGTAAAGACGTAGACATTTCGTCCGGGTCTTCTTCTCGTCTCTGTGTTGATGCTTCTACGTTGCTTCCCTTGGACAAGTGTATTTGCTCGTATCCTCACCCTTTAGAGTAGTTGAGCATTGATTGCATACTCTATTGGGTAACAAGGTTGACAAAATGTACACCTGATCTTCAGTCTTCGAGTAGAAGCTCCATTATTTCTGCTCTTAATTGCTTCTCTTACGATAGTGAGGTGGAGATCCGGTTCTTCAACCTGCTGATGTTGAGTATTGTTGTGTCGACCTCTTCAGGTCGCCTGCTAATGTGAGTATTGTTGTGTCGGCCTCTCCAAGCTGCCTGTTGATATTGTGAGTATTTTTATGCCAGCCTCTCCAGGCTGCCTGCTGATATTGTGAGTATTGTTGTGCCAGCTTCTCCAAGCCGTCTGCTGATGTTGTGAGTATTGTTGTGTCGGCCTCTCTAGGCTGCCTGCTGATATTGTGAGTATTATTGTGCCGTCCTCTCCAGGTCGCCTGCTGATATTGTGAGTATTATTGTGTCGGCCTCTTCAGGCCGCCTGTTGATATTGTGAGTATTATTGTGTCGGCCTCTCCAGGCCGCCTGCTCATATTGTGAGTATTATTATGCCGGCCTTTTCAGGCCGCCTACTGATGTTGTGAGTATTATTGTGCTGGCCTCTCCAGGCTGCCTGCTGATGTTGTGAGTATTGTTTTGCCAGCCTCTTCAAGCCGCCTGCTAATATTGTGAATATTATTGTGCCGGCCTCTTTAGGCCGCCTGCTGATATTGTGAGTATTATTCTGTCGGCCTCTCCAGGCCGCCTGTTGATGCTGATGATGTGATTGCCCCCTTTCTATGGGAAGACGTCTGATGAAGATGAGGATTACTGGTAGGTGGTGCCCTTATGATGGTGGGTAAAGGAGTTGATGGGTGACAGGGATTCTAGTGTTGCCCCTGTCATGTGAGTACTGTGATGCCTCTCTAGGCATAATGCTGAGTCCTTTTGATTCATTGATGATTGATTGTTGTGGAATGAAAGACTGCCCCTAGGTGGATGGGCAGGAGATGTTTGTTGTGCCCCTGAGTTGGTGGCAGAGAAGTGGATGGCTGGCAGGGATTCCAGTGTTGCCCTTGCCACGTGAGTATTGCGATGCCTCTCTAGGTGCTGTTTGTGGTAGCTTGGTAAGAGTTTGGTGTTGTTCTTGTCAAGGTGAGTATTGTAATGCCTCTTCAGGCGCTGATCATGTGGTATGAATATTTTTTATTTTCTTAGCTTCGGTTTTTTCATGTTTGAAGCTTGCCTTTTTCTACTATCATTTTTGAATGCTTCGGCTTTTTTTTTTGTTGACATTTTTGAAGCTTGCCTTTTTATCATGTTTCTTTTGCTTTTTATTGTCATCATTGGTGGAGGGATCTATTCCCATGATGTTATTTGTTGAATCTTTGTTAATGAGTATTATTTTGGAAGCCACTCCTGGCTTTGGTGAGGAAACCATACCTGGTGGTCTTGGCATTCTCTTGGATTATCCTTCATTTGGTGAAGAAGTAAGGTGTGATGGCCTCTTCATGCTTATAGGCTTGATTATTCTTCCTCGTCCAGGTCTATCCCATCTTGCTATTGATGTGTCTTTCTTTTCTTGGTAGCTATATGAAACCACTTGTATGGAATGCCCTTGTTGGGGCTAGGTTTTTCTTTACATGATCTTGGCTTTTAAGGTACTGTCTAGCTGTTGATCTTTTTTATGAGTGCTTCGACCTCTTGATTCCTCCAACAAGTGATGGATAGACACACACAAAGAATGCAAGAATGCAAAAGAAAATGCAAAGCAGAAATGGATTGGATTTTTTTTTAAATGAACTTATACCCTTTTGTGCACACTTGTGCCATATGCATGTTATGCAATGATGCTTCTATGCTAATGCTTAAAATGAAAATTTATTTTTACTTTCAAGAAATTAATCTATGCGCATTGATCAATGACATGGACTGTTAGCCTTTAGCCCTGTTGAATTCAGTGTTGCTTCTTGAACCTAAGGTTTGTGTAGTTCAGCCCTCTCGCTTGTACCGGATGTGATATGTTAGCCCTTAGATCAGGTGTACCTAGACTCTAGACTCTGTTCTAGGACACCTCCATCTTTTCCTTGTGAGTATTCACTGTGCATACTCCGTGTATCTCTCAAATTTATCTTAATGCCATATAGGTCAAGAGGAAAGAGAGGAACTACAACGCCCTAAATCGGTACCCTATGATGAAGATAACGTAATAAGAATTAATAATTAAAATATTTAATCCCCTTTATTAATGATTATTTACATGAAAATTAAATTACACGGTGAACCCTAAGATATCTACATAATTGCGTTTATTATAGCAATATATAAAATAAAAGAAGAGAAAGATAGAACAAGAGATTAATGAGTAATACCTCGTACCAAGCTTTATTAGATCTTCTACTATGGAGATTTTAGGTGCTTTGTGGCAACCCTTCACACTACAATGTCTCATAAAATCTCAAGAAATACAAGAGAGGGAGAGAGAAAAAGAGAGAAATTTCAAGCTCTAAAGAGTGCTGGACAAAATTTTTGGGGTCCGGAGAATTGTGGCCGAGATTTCTATTTATAGGCATCAGATATGGGCCGCAACGGCCCGTTCTGGATTCGGAATGACTTGTTCTGGATTTGGAACGGCCCGTTCCGAATCCGAACGTTATGTATTATTTTTGTATCCTAGAACGGCCCGTTCAGAACGGCCCGTTCAAAACGGCCCGTTCTGGGTTACAAATTTTAGCCCCTTTGATTGGTTTGGAACGGTCCGTTCTGGTCTAGAACGACCCATTCTAACCTACAAATTTTAGGCCTTTTAGAAGCCTCGGAACGACCCGTTCCAATCAAGAACGGCCCGTTCCAGACTTAGGAATGGCCCGTTCCGGACTTGGGAACGGCCCGTTCCAGGTCACTGAAAAAAAGTTGCTTTTTGGCCCTCTGACATCCTATCTTGTCGTTTGTATGCCCCGCGAACGAAATTGGGTGTCTATAGCTGTCCCTCTTTACTTGTCCTTTGGAATAGCTGTGTTGCTTTTCCAAAGGCAAGTAAAGACGTAGACATTTCGTCCGGGTCTTCTTCTCGTCTCTGTGTTGATGCTTCTACGTTGCTTCCCTTGGACAAGTGTATTTGCTCGTATCCTCACCCTTTAGAGTAGTTGAGCATTGATTGCATACTCTATTGGGTAACAAGGTTGACAAAATGTACACCTGATCTTCAGTCTTCGAGTAGAAGCTCCATTATTTCTGCTCTTAATTGCTTCTCTTACGATAGTGAGGTGGAGATCCGGTTCTTCAACCTGCTGATGTTGAGTATTGTTGTGTCGACCTCTTCAGGTCGCCTGCTAATGTGAGTATTGTTGTGTCGGCCTCTCCAAGCTGCCTGTTGATATTGTGAGTATTTTTATGCCAGCCTCTCCAGGCTGCCTGCTGATATTGTGAGTATTGTTGTGCCAGCTTCTCCAAGCCGTCTGCTGATGTTGTGAGTATTGTTGTGTCGGGCTCTCTAATTCTAAAACCGATCACAAGTAATATAGTTACTAACCTTGCCCCTAAAGGAACATGAAATGTAGATAAAGGTGGATGAGGTGGTGCAATAAATGGAAACCGATACCATGCCCATAATTGCAGTAAAATACCTGACCCAGCAATTTCCTTGTGATCATAATTCATCGCCACACACAACTCCATGTACATATTTGCCAAGACGCATGACCCCCAACTCATTTGACCACAAACATCTAGGTCTTCGAGGAAACTCAGGTATTTGAGGGATACAAACGAGCTAGAGTGATCGGTTAATAAATATCTCCCGATCATGCGTAAAATGAACGCTCTAGTATAGCGTTCCAAATGTTCCTGGCTATGTATATGCTCAGAAACATCCGAAAAGTGCTGGTCAATCCACCTCATCCTCAACCTACCCCCAACAAGCATTGCCTCAGGGGGTGTCATGCCAAGAAGGCGCTGCACAAGAGCTCCCCAATCCATACTTGCGTATCCAGTAATGGGTGCCCCAGAGATCTTCAACCCAAGTAAAATTGCAACATCCTCCAACGTGATAGTACACTCGCCGAAGGACATGTGAAACGTGTGGGTCTCTGGTCTCCATCGCTCAACTAACGCAAATATTAAATGATTATCCACAGGAATGTCTCTGCGCCATCCCCATAAAACCAGCCCTCTGTAAAAGATCCTGAACAGCAGCTGGAATGTCACCACCACGCAACTCTGATTGTTTTGCACTCCTAACCTTCAGAACCCTATCCTCAGCTCCATTCCATATATGCTCAGATATATGGAATGGCTGAAGCCTTAATAATGAATCATCCATAGGTCCTGCATGAATAATCTGTCTAGACATCCTGATATAATTCAACAAACAAACAAATTAAATAAACTCAAACAACAATTTATTTCTAAATTTTAGAAATACCTAAATACCTAATTTAAACCCTCATAATAATTCAACATTTTGAATTGAAATCATTCATTACTGCAATGAGAACGGGTCGTTTTCATTGCACAAAAAGTGTATAAATTTGGGTTTCGGAACGGGCCGTTCTGAAAGTAGAACGGGTCGTTCTGAACCCTTCCATACTTCACTAAATGAAACAACGAGAACGGCCCCACAACAGCCTGTTCTACTTTCAGAACGGCCCGTTCTGAAAGTAGAACGGGCCGTTCTGATTTCACAACAGCCCGTTCCACATCCAAAATAACACCCATTTACTTTATCCAGAACGGCCCGTTCCAAAAACAGAACGGGCCTTTCCACACCCACAAACCAATGACGAATATCCCTCAACATTTTCTATTTAAATTTTTTTCTTACTTTAAAATAATTAAAATTCAAAACATACCTGATAACACCGTGTAAATATACTTTTGTGGGCAAAAATCACTGGTAACACACTCGTATTCTCAAAGCGTCGGGACCTCAAGCATTTTTCCACAAAAATAATCCTCTCCCGGCACCACCCAGTAGCACCATTTAAACACAAAAGACGGAAGGAGGTACAGATGGCGCCTAGGGGGGAGGCGCCTTCAGTGTACACAAATGGCGCCTGGGGGGGAGGCACCTTCAGTGTGTGCCACATCAGCACACTTGGCGCCTGGGGGTGGGGTGCCTTCAACGAAATTCTGCCACATGTACAACACGCCTCCCCCCCAGCGTTTTCTATTCACCGTGCCACGTCAGCATACATGGTGCCTGGGGTGGAGGCGTCTTCTAAAAAACGCCCACCCCCCAGGCGTTTTCAATGCCACGTTGGCGCCTACGTGTCCAAAACTACCTATTTTGGTAATTACTTTTTTTTTTTAATTTTTTTCGTGTATTTTTTATTTATTTATTTAGATGGGTCAAAAAGCCTGTGTGTGTGTGTGTGTAACGACTCGGCTGGCCGCCACACACAGCTCAACACCACAACACTATACAGAAAAGAGTATGCATATATATATAAGCAGCTACAATATATACACAAGGTCTAATCTGGGGCTTAAAAAAATCAGAGTACAAAAATTTCAACTCAATTACTACACTAAGTAGTCAAAACAGCAAAAACATCAAAATACATCCACTGCATCTGGCAGCTACAAATTTGCCTCTACACACCAGCCTATCCCTGCTCTGCTCTCATACATAGTATGATCATCGCAGTCTAAACCACATGAAAACAACAAAGGGTAAGCCAGTGAAAAGAATCAACATACATATATATAAATACATGAATGGTAAATAGCTACAACTATCAGCACATCAATCTAGTTCAGCAAGATCAGCACACAACACATCACATATACAACTCACATCATTCAGCAATAATAGAAATAAACAAACAATGCGTCGTCACGCATATCAGCTCGGTTTGGTCGCTTGTAAGCGGTATAGCTCGACCTGTCCCCTATACCGTGGTTTCTTTATAATCGGTATAGCTAGACCTTGCCCCTATAACGTGGTCGCTTTGTACACGTGTGCCTCAACCTTGCCCATACACGGGACCAACTAAGTACTTAGAGGAGAACAACACAGTGACCACTCCAAGGGACAGCTTCCCAAGGAGGGTTTTCAATAAATTGGGCTCTAAGAGCACCACAACTACCTCAATCCACACAATGGGATGAGCAATTTCGAAAAACATCTCCTCTAGTCTTAGTGATCAACAGCTCAGCCTTACGGCCTACAACAGCTCAACCTTTCGACCTACAACAGCTCAGCCTTACGGCCTACAATAGCTCAGCCTTTCGGCCTACAACAGCTCAGCCTTACGACCTACAATAGCTCAGCTTTTCGGCTTACAACGGTTTATATCAGCATGCAGGATAACATAACATAGCAGCAATAACAACATACAACACAACTCAACATTATACAACATAGCTTAAACATCATAATTCAGCACGAACATCTCACAGCACAACTCATCATCAATCATCTCAACAACATTCATCTTCAACAGCTTAAATCAACATACAATTCAGCTCGGCTCAACAACAAAATTCAGCATTAGCATCATACAGCACAGCTCAGCGTTACATCATTAACAACATTAACAGCTCAAACAACATATTAAACACATAATACGACTCACCCATCTTGTTTACAACTCATCTATTATGCCAAATTACCCACCCAAACAACACCAATCAACCTAAGCACCTAAAATAACTTTCAACTTAACCAAATCACTAATTGTGAAATAACAACCTTCACATAAAACAGAGTATCAGGAGTTATACTACTCCTACCATGCTCATCCTTATCTCATATGAAAGATAAGAAGATTTCCTACAACTCTCATGAAGACACCAAGTCCTAATTCCATCATCTACCTTGTTAAAAATTCTAAAAACCGCAACAGCTATAAGCAATGCTGGCAGCTTGACCCCTTTTCACTAAAACAGCTAATCTAGAGTTCTAGAACTCCTTTTTGGGTGATTCCAACTCCATTGGAAAGCTAAGATCCAAGGATAAAACTTTCATGAAGACCTTAAGACCAAATTCGGTCATCAAGACCCACTGCTGCAGCGCTCAATCCAGCACTTTAGCTGCAACTCTCTGCCAGTTTAGTTTCCCTGCCACAGCCATGGCTGCAAATCCACGGCCATAGCTGCAAGTTTCTACCATTCTAATTTTTTTCCATAACTATGGCTGCAAAACCACAGCCATGGCTGCAAGTCTCTACCCTCACGTTTTTCCCCTCCCACAGCTATGGCTGTGAATCCACGGCTATAGTTGTGAGTTTCTGAAACTCCTAAAGCACCATGGATTTTACCTTCGTTTTCACCCAAATCCTCCATGAACCTACAATCCAAGGAACCGCAGTCCATGCTACAACTCAAATAAACCACTACCAACCACATGCAACCCAAAAACATCAAGAATCACAACATGCATGCATCAAGATTCAAGAGATCATCAAGAACAATCACAAGGTTTCAGCTTTACCACATGCAACCAACCTATCTCAATTAATCAACCCCCAAATCACATCTTATATGGAGATCCAACTACATGCAAGCCAAAATGTATGTCAAATTCGAGTTCTAACTTCCCTTACCTCGGTGAAGAGAAATTCTGGTTCTGGGAAGGAGAAAAGGAGAAGAAGATGAAGAAGCTTGAAATGGACAGAATCCGCGCCTCCGCAAGCTACCAACACCTACTCAGTACCACCACCTAAAGGTTCCAGAGAATCAAACCAAAGGCAAAGAGAGAACAAAGCAAATTGAGAGGAAGTGAAATGGTAGTGAGGAGAGGAAGTGAAGAATGTTGGGGAAGAAAAAGGAAAACGGAAGTGGGGTCTCACAATAAATATATATATATATATA